ACATTAAATACAAATTAATTTGCAAAGATGATGATCTTAAGTTGTGAAAACAGACACGAAAACGTTCTTTCTTTGATTAAAAATGCCCTTTTTTCGACCGATTTGGATTCTCGACCTTCAAGACCTTGAGAATAGCCACAATTTGGAAAATATGGTGCCAATAGTTCAGGAAATCTATGGAAAGTTTGAACTTCTAAATATTAATATTACTTATTGAGTATTTCATCATAACCCCAGAATTAATAAAGAAAAAAAAATGTAATAAAAAAACTTGTTTATCTAAGGATTAAATGTAACCATATAGACAACATTTTTTATAATTATTTATCTTATTCAGTTTACGAATAATAAAAATAAAAACTTTTAATTGTAAAGTATACAGATTTTTACACCGATTCAATTTATGTAATTTAAAAAGAAAAAATCCAAAGGAGCAATTCTTCAGAAATAATAGTTATGGCGGCGCTGTGCCAAAAAGTGCAAATTAACATTAAAGGGCCCAAATTTTCGTCAGCTCTCCGTCCTAAATTATAACAACCATATTTTCTAGATAGTGAACAAAATAGCATATTTTATGTATTCTCGTTACTCCAATCAAATTATTGCACCCGATTATTCACTTTTAGCTTTAACCTGGGTTATTTTATATCTATTGTATTTCTAAAAGCACATTATATAAGAAGAAGAAAAAAATTAAAAAGGAACAACCTCAGAGAACACAATGAGAGGTTAGAAATGAAAAATGATGGTAATGAGAAGTTCATGGTGTGAATGCGGGAAGTTTACCTGCTGTTCAGTGTTGGAACAGTTAACGGCATCAAAAAAGTTAACCGCATAAAATAAACGAAGGGAAGACAGAGAAGAGAGTGCGATCTCTGTGGCCTTAGAACAAAAACGTTGAAAGAAATACTTCTTGCGCAACGAATGTAAAGAGAAGAACCGAAGTGAAGAAGTCAACAAAACATCTTATTTGTTCAAGTTTGTTGATGAATTAACTGATGTTTGGCAATGAAGCTTCTTGTGGCGAAGTTTTGTTTTCAAAAAGCAAGCTTCCGGGTAAATGTGACAAAGGACAAGAAGAGCTAAGCGTAACGAATTGCTTTTCTTTAAATTAGGAACGCGCATTCGTAAAGCACCGTCGCTTTGGAATTAGAAGTTTTTGGACAGTCCAGCCTTTTGAAACGATAGCTTGTTGCTCTTTGCTGCGTTTAATGATCCTTAACTAGCTTCTGTGTTTGTATCTTTGATGTATACAAAAGATTTTGAATCAGAAATTAGCTGTCCACTCTTTTGCAACGAATTCTTGTTTTAAGTTGTTGCAACCAATGATTCTTAACTAGATTTAGTTAAAAGTTTCACAGTTCGTAATCGTTTTTAAATTAGAAAATTTTCACTGTCCATTCTTTTGTAGGTTGTTTAGGATTTCATTAAATACAACTGTATGATCCGTGAAGTAATTAGGCACGCCGTAACCTTTACTATACTCTTCCGTAACTGCTTGCTCTCTATCGTGAAGTTTATTGTGAGAATTGTTTCTATAAATATCGACACTTTTAAGAAAATAAAGAAATTTTCCCACAGTGTTCGAAAATAAATTAATTAATGTCTTCCGGAATGGGAAATAAGACACTCCGACTGAAATAGGTTAATTCCAAATTAAGAAACGGATTTTTTTTAAACTAGATATTATGCCTATTTAATATATTATACCTTAATGACACTAAATAAATAAACATTTGCGTTAAATATCAAATCTTTCCTTACTAGTTTGAGTTAAAATACTTTAACAGGGAAAAAAATATTAATTAACTCAATTCCGAAATCTCCATTGTAAAAAATGAGTTTGGGAAAAAATGACCTCCCGGAACGTCTTACTGCTTAAAACACTTAGGGCATAAAAAGTAAGTTCCATTTTATGAAAAGATTAGTGTCGTACAGTTCAAGAAATAATTTACTTCATAACGAAAAAGTTTTTAAATTTTATTTTACTTTGGAAAAAAGGACATAAAATGAGCTCCATATTATAAAGAAGACATTTTTTCAAAAAAGAATTTTAAAAAAAAATTTAAATTAGGTAAGAAAAAGTTAAAATCCTGCTAGTTTGAATAGGAAATAGGTCGTAGATAGTGACTAATAGTAATAATTAATAAGGATTATCGAAAGAGCTCTAATAATTTAAGAGATTTCATACTGGAGCTGTCGAGGTTTTTATTCTAGCTGCTCAGATATTAAAAGTTTAATCGAAGAGAATAATTCTGCATGCATTGCTTTACGAAAAAAAAATTATAAACCATCGTGTGCAGCTACAATTTGAGTGCGCATTAAGAAACCTCCTTTCATTTTTAAAGCTCTTAATATAAAATTATCTTTATCAAAATGATCATTTCCCTCTAATAATAAATTGTTATGACGATTCCGGTAAAAATAACCATAATTCTGGAAATTCAAACCAAAATATACCATATTTAGACCATTTATTTGGGAATTTTTCAATTCATATGGTAACGGTTTACTGGAAATTTCGGCTAATTAAATTAGCCGAAATTTAATTAAATTTTGGCTTTCAAAACTATAGTTCTTATTACCAAACATTTAATACAAGAACAAAATTGAAAATTAAATTTAATCTAATAATTCTTTTTACACCATGCTCTAAGCTATCATGATAAAATTACAAAATTTTATCACATTTATAAAATTATACCACACTTACCAAACTTTGTCGCAGCTTATAAAATTATATTTAATTGTTAACTTTACCAAAATCTTAACCATATTCTGATAGTTTCAACCATACTTTTCTCCTCAGAGAAAGACATTAGTTATGTTTATATGCGTATTGCACTTATTTTCAGAAGAATTCTTTCACTTTCTAATTTTTAATTTAATTAATAAATAAAAATTAACTTAAAAACATTTTTTAAAGAAATATTTTGTTTTTATTTTCATCTACCGATAAGGATATACGTTATTGAAATTAAATCAAGGCTTCGAAAAATTATAATAAGTTTTTTTACGTGGATTTTTCATTCTGAATTCCGAAAAACCCGTTGCCCTAACGATTTTAGACTGATTGAGAAAATTATGCCACCAGAAAAAAAAGACAGTTTTTTTGGATCAGTTAAACTTTGCACTAAGCTTCTTTTCCACAACTTTTTATGTATTTTCGAGTTTGTCATTTTTGTATGTCTCAGGGCCAAGTTCAACTCTATTCCGCTCTGTTGCTCACTTGTGACGCAAACTAGACCAAATATGTAATCTCCGATATTGCTCTTCATTTTTAACCACTTTTCTTACATTATTTATTGTTAAAAAAATATTTCATTACATGTTATGCGCACATATGACAAAACTGTTTGATTTGATAACATGACCAGATCAGATACGTTACCTTAGATAGTTTGCTTTATTTTTCATGCATTTTATTTTTTGTAAAAAAAATTTTATCACATGTTCTACGAATCCATGATAAAACTCTTCATTTGATAACGGATATATCATTTCGGATATTGAGGTCCACTTTGAAACAATTTTTTTTATATTTATATAAAGAAAAATATTACATATTATGGAAATGTGAGACAGAACTGTGCGTTTGATCAACTCCTAGCCTGTCGTGATTTTTCAATCCTGCGGCTTGCTCTTCTGTTTGGCATTTTTTTGAATAAAAAAAAACTTGATTCTTGATTTTTTTTTGTAGTTCAGGTAAGAGGTTAAAAGCAACAAGTTCAGGCAATGCATTTTAAAATTAATAAAAGCTTGCATTATAATTGCGACCAACTAAAGCTAAGAGAAAGTCTAAAACAAAAAAGAGAGAGCAAGTCATGAAAGGCCGTTGGATTGTAAATTAGCCATTTCCGGCTGATATGCTGTCTTAGATATTGAGTTTTATTTTTTAAGCATTGCTTTAATAGTTCAAAAATTTCACTACAGGTTATACCTTCTACCTATAAACTGTTATCACCTTGCACAAAAATTTTTATAACTTCGTAAATAATTGAAGAACAAACAAAAGTAAACTATTTTTAGAAAGCTATGACTACAGAGATTCTGAATTTATAATACACGCAATTTCGAAAATTTTGTCCAAAATCTTGTTTTCACTTGAGTCAGATACCTTAACCATAGTGTTTTTGTTAAAAATTTGAATAATATGATATGCAAATCCATGACAAATATGTTCATTAAATAACATTACCAGTACAGATATGTTATCTTATATATTGTATTTTATCTTGTAATCATTTTTAAATGTCTGGTGATATTAACAAAAGGAGAAATGATAGATTGTCCAGGAATAAAATATTGAAGAATATTGATCTCTGACTAATTAAAGGGAAATAATCAGTTGTTTGGTAGCAGGCTTTTGGTTTCGTAGTTTTCGAAACACATAATTGTTTTTAATTCTGAACCTTTCATCCAAACCGACTTATGTTGACACAACATATATTTTCAGGTGGATCCTCCCGAAGATAACCACCGATTCATGAAGGCAAAATGAATAGTTTCGCTTTTTAAATTCTTATTCAAAAATTTCAACAATAACAACAAAAAACAGCGAAAGAATTGCAAATTTTTTTCTTGACCTCTTTCTTCGAATTAAAAAGATTCAAAAGTAAGTCGAAAATCATCCCAGCAAGAGATCCTTCATTTTTCTATCAAGCTAATTGTTACCAAAGAAGATAATTAAAACTAAAACTATTTAGCAAAAGAGGAAACTTTAAGGGATAATTCTGAACGTCACATATAATGGTAAACTTAGCCTTTATCAATCATTGAAATGATTCACAGCTCATTAATCAATAAGCATAATACGGATGGGATCTATTTTAAGAATAACGATTTTTGTATCAAATGTTTCTTTCTGGGAAAACGATTCAAAAAGCATTAGTAAGCAAGAGATTAACTATAAATTGAAAAAGTTAAATGCTATTAAAAAGCTCCAAAATATCTAATGGTAAAAATAATGAGGAAAAAAACACTTAATTTGATATCATTACCTTCAACTGTTGCTATGACGAGCAGGACGAGTCCACACAGACTCCAGAGTAAATTCATATTTAGACTTTGAGTTACTTAGGATTTCTTTCTGAAATAAACAAAAAGAAAAAACATTTTATTTTATTTACTCCTTTTTTTACTTTAATATAAATTAACATCATGGAATAATCATTTTCGATTTAATAAACATTTTAACTTTAATTATTAGTCATTTTCAGTGAAAGAAGAAACAAGAAGAAACAAATGTAGTAAAATATCAAATGTAACAGATGCAATTTGTTATCTTGGTAAACCGAAATTTTCAGTTTATCAGATACAAGGTTAGCCTTAGTTATTCATTAAGTTTCATAGGACTGATTATTGAGAGGTATACGACTTACAAAGATGAGTCATACTAAGAAGATACCTATCTCTCTAGTTTATGGTTCATACTAAAAATGAGTCATATGTACCCCCTTGGTCACCAAGTACATATTCCAATGGTAATCTAGATATATCCACACATTTAATAACATTTGTTTCTATCACATTCACATTTTAGTATGCAGAGGTACTTAATGAGTAAATGTAATGCATCGTATTTCGTATATTCGTACATAAACTGTTTTGAAAGCCGATGAATCATTAAACCTAACTATGTATCTATCAAAGTTAAGTTCTAGTTTCACAAACAACATTATAAACAAATTTTATTTAAAATGAAGGTATATATTTGAATAACATTAAGAATACATAAAGTTAATTTGTAAAATTATTTGTACAAACATCTTTCAAAAATCACGAACTAAAATTTTATAATAATTTTTACCATCATAACAAAACTATAAAACGAACTATGAAGGGCAGGATTAAAAGTAGTTTTTAGTTTTTTATTCCTTTTTTCATGAACATTAATTACTTAAATTTCATATCCTTATTTCTAGAATATATACTTGCTAAAATATATCAAGATGCAAAAATTCATAGAAAGAGCCAGGATACAGAGCAACGATTCCATCGATATGAATATATTTATATATTTGTATATTTATAATATTTACATATTTATATTATGGTTAGTGGGATTATCTTCCAAATTAAAATGAAGATAATGCTTTTTAAAACTACAAATTCCAAATAATAATAAGATTAATTTATTGGAGATTAAGTAAAAAAAAATTTTTCATAAATTCGTTAATTTAATTTAAAGAACACGAAATTTTTTACTCCGTCAAGTCGAAACTTTCTGGCCAATTGAACCATAATACCATTTAAATTTGTTACACTTTATTATGGTGCCAAATTCAGCAATGTTATAGAACAAATTAATCCTTCTTAAACTTGATTAAAAGCCGCGATGGCTCAGGGGATAGAGCGTTCGCTTTCCAATGAAGTGAACCGTGTTCGGTCGATACGAATCCGCATTCGGCTCGTGCCAACCACAGTGCTGACGGGAAAATATCCCCAGTGGTAGACTGATTATATATTAACAGTCCCTTTGCAGTCAGGCTAAACCATGGGAGGTTTCCGTGGTCTTTCTTTCCATGCAAGTGCGGGTTAGTTCCTTTAAAAAAGTCTTCCACTTAGGCAGATTTCTCCCAATACTTGATTCACGAGTTCCCTTGTCTTCCGGATTGGGTTCAAACTTACAAGGCTACGGAATTGAACATTAGCAGTCGTAAACCCGAAAAAATGGGTCGGCTGTTCAACGACGGTAATAAAAAAAAAATTTCTTAAGCAATGTAGTTCAACTTGATAGAAATAAGGTTTTATTTCGCACTTTATTAAAGCTACAGCAAAATCGCACAGAATATGACTTGTCCATATGTGAAGTCACACTTTCTCTCAGTTTTTCAGATCCTCTCTCCCCTTGCCATAATGTTTAACTCTTCATCATGCTGTCTAAAAACTTTGTCACGTGTCATGGCTACGTTACATAATTATACGCATGCAGCTCAGGAACATAGCACTACGTTATAGATCATCTTTCAAATTTTATTTTTAATCTTTAAATGCGTGAAGGATAAAAGTTAATTTGTAGCGTTTTAAACACGAAATGAAAAGGCACTATTCGACTGTAACCGTGAGTGATTAAAAATGAGACAAAACAGTTGTTTCTATTTTGTAAATAATATCAAAACACTGCAAGGAGAACAAAATTCTGATAAAGTTACCGTACTGTATTGTAATGATATCTCCGTTTTTTAAGGAAAAAGAATTTTTTTTTGGTAATAAAATTAAAGTATACGGTAATTAAACCATTTATTCGGTAATCTCTCCGTTCATATGGTACCGGTTTATCGGAAAAATTCTGGTTTTCAAATTCTGGTTTTCAAAATTATAGTTCTTATTAACTCACATTAACTATAAGTACAAAACTGAAAATTAAATTTAACCGTATAAATGGGTTTTTATGTCATGATCAAAGGTATCATAATTAAGTTATCAGACTTTACTACATTAACCAAATTTTATCACATATTACAAAGCCATATTTTATTGCTAATTTTAACAAAATTATTACCAAAGCAAAATGATTACCAAATTTATCCAAGTTTTTGGTGTTCTCATAGAGCCAGAAAAACTATAAATTTTACATATTGTGGAAGTTTTGACCACACTTTTCATATGGGCATTCACTAATTGACTCTGTGGATGAAACAGCTGTTAGTATTTTGTTTTCAGTTTTGTTCCACATTGTTTCTTAATTTTAAATAACTCTATTATTTCCATCGAAAAATAAAGATAAATGGAAAGCTTACTATAAGAAAGTTTTAAGTATAATTTTTGAAGATATTGAAAAATCTAAAACCATAAAACAAGAGATAACTAGTTTCAGTCCTACTTAAATCTACAAAATTAATTTACTGTACCAAGTTTTTAAATTTCGCAGACCTCAGCTGATAAAGATACCAAATAGCAATCTTTGAGTGCTTTCAAAATAGAAGAAAATTTCAAGTGCATTTGGCACCAAACATGCGCCAAGTATCCTCAGAAAACATAGATTTTGTAAACAGATTAAAACGCCAAAAACGCGAACGTTATATCGTTAAATAAGTGTAAAGAATTTATGGATTTCCATAAATGAGGACTTGTGGATCCGCAATAAAGACAAGACATATTCTTATTTACTATTTTAAACTCATAAAATTCAAAACTAATTTACTGAAATTCGTCAAAATTTAAATTATAATCCTCATCTACTCAACTCTCCAATTCCATTTTCAGTGCCCTATGAATCAATTATAGCATAAATTGATCACAGTGATCTCATGCTCAGAAACAATTACACCAATAATTGCAACTTGTTGAAACCTTTTCAGACATTTCTCGTCAAGAACAGTAAATAAAGCCAGAACCTTTTATTTGAGCCAATAATTGATTTCTGTAATCAATGTTATTGGCTTAGATTTAAGACTATGATGACAGGGAACAACCACAAAGTACCTCCCACAGCCCTTTACAGCTTTTATGACTGCTATGACGCCTTAATTCAATAACATGATTGATGACTTAAAGCTATAATTGTAGCCTCGCCCCCTTCAAAGAGATGATTAATCTCGAAACACCAATTCGATTATCACGATCTTTGGTAAACTGCACCTGTAATCGTGGCCGTCTATGAGCCGTAATTCTATCAACGAAAAGAAAAGAAAAAACGTTTAGACTCGCTTTGATTAAGTGTGTACTTGGCGACAAAGAGGTGTTCTGTAAAATAAAATTTTTTTATTGAAAGTTAATTAAAAATGGGTTGACAGCCGTGAGTGCTAATTCGGTTAACCCAGTCGCGTGCTGAAGTATTTTGTTAAATAGTTGTTTATCTAAATATCCACACAAAGAAATTCTTATTTTATTTATCGTATTTGAAATATCAGAACTCCTTCTTAAAATTTTGTATGCCAGTAAAATATATTCAAATTTTTATATTATAAAAAATAAAGTTATGAAGCTGAATCTAATAAATAATCCTTATCTAATAAATCAAGTTTATGATCCTCTAACGGACAAAAATAATTAAACTTGCAGGAAAATAGTATTTGTATCGTTTGTTGTATATTGTAATTGTTAATATAATTCAATAATCTGTTATTGGTCAAAAATATCTTGAAATAATTATTGCATCAATAATTCATTACTCTCAGAGAATACTAATTATCTAATAATCAAGTTAATGATCATCTAACAGGCAAAACTATTTAAACTTGCAGGAAGACAGTATTTGTGTTGTTTGTTATATATGGTAATTGTTAATATAATTCAATAATCTGGTATTAGGCAAAAATGTTTTGAGAGAGAGAGTGAAATCATTCTTGCAGCAATAATTTATTATTCCCCGACTTAATAAATTAAATTTTAAAAAATCCACAAAATTTTATTTTATAATTATTATTAGAATAGAATTGAACAATTTTAAAAAACTTGTGAAGTTGAATTTGGAATAAGTGAAAATAGCTATTAAAAGAAATTTTACCCATTATCCTCAGATAATAAGGCGGCAAAAAAAAGAAAGTTGAATTTCACCAAAATTTAATAAACTAATCACCTTCTAAGTAATTGTATACCTAAACAAAGTAATTATATACTTAAAAAAAATCTAGCTATTAAATCAAAATACTTTTATGATATTGAAATCTCACTAAATATTTGCAAAAAAATAGTCCCCCCCCCCTTTTTTTTATAAAGAATTACGATAAAAATTACAAAGAAAACAATCGAATGCAGAGGAAAATAATTTCTTTATTTTTACTAAGTATTTCAATTTATGTAAGTTTTAAAAAGAGTTTTTTTTACATACTTATCTACTAATATATTTATTGAATACAAACGAATTAATTATTAAAAAATAATCAACTTATCTCTATCCTTCAAGGCATTACGAAAAAAAGGTTTTTGATGCTGACAAACTTAAAAAGTCTGTAAAATAAGAACCAAACGCTAGATACTTTCTGATAAGGAAATTTTGTGTACTTAAAAGAAATTCATGTCAAATTTATCTCTTAAAAGTAAATTTTATAAGCTTATAAAGTACTTCCAAAAAACGTCCTTACCATCTCTAAACAGGAAAGTAAGAGAAGAAATTTCTGGTAAAATTGTCGTATTTGCATTGTA